TTACTGAAAAACTATTTCCTAACATTCCTCCTAATAGTATTATAATAATGGATAATGCACCTTACCATTCAGCTTTGGAAGACAAGCCTCCAACTAGATCTTCTCTAAAAAGAGACATCATCACGTGGTTGAGCAAAAAAGGTATAGAGCATGATCCTAATGCTAAAAAAATGGAGCTTTATGAAATAGCTTGTCTACATAGGCCACCATCTGATGAGAAAAATTATAAGATAGATAATTTAATAAGAAGTTTCGGACACACCCCACTTCGAACGCCACCCTATATGTGTCAGTTTAATCCCATAGAGATGATTTGGGCACAAGTAAAATTTTTCATTAGAAGCCATAATACAAGCGGCGAATTTACTATAAAAAAACTAGATGAAATTTCTAATAAGGCCATCGCTTCAGTAAGTGCCAGTGACTGGCAAAAGGTTATTGGACATGTTATAAAAATTGAAGATGAATATTGGGAAAAAGACAGTCTCATTCAAGAAATACAGGAAGAAATAATAATCAACATAGGAGGTGAAAGTGATAGCAATGACAGTTCCTCAGACAGTGATCATGACTCTAATCAGGATTGAAACTATACTAGATTGGCTACCTTTTAGAATTTTTAGATATTCATTTATTATACTATTGGTTTGTGGCTTTTAGTATCTCAGTAGAAAGTCTAATTCTATGTGTTGTTTATGGGTTATTTCATCAAGAAATTACTTTTGTTTTCCTATATTTTTCTATTCAGTCAGATATTTTTGACTTGTTGTATTCTATTTTAGAAGAATGCATAATTTGTTTTGCTGTTCAATCATAATGCGTACATAGGAATATTACTTGTTGCCTAAAAAATATATTTATTTTGTTCTCAATATTCAGTGTTTGTGTATATTTATTTCTTATAATGTATGTTTGGTATCACGTCATTATGAATCGCAAAAAAATATTAATACTACCAGTTGTAATAAAATATAAATTCAATTAATAATTCAAGTCTCTCCGATCTCCGCCTATGACTCCATATAAAATCGTCTAATGGTAAGGTTTTTTCATCGCATTTCCCCCTTTCGTCCCTAGCAATCTTTGGCTGGTCGATCAATATTTACACCCAAGATAGAATGGATGCGTGAGTGCCAAAAGCAAAGACGGCGTACAGGACCGCATTCAGGGCTACCTCCGCATTATGGACTACCGCCAACGTATTGTAAAACAAAGATGACAGTATTTAACGAAATTATATAATATAGTGAAGTAGATATAGTAAAGGGTGTCGCAAAATCAATTTTTTATTCTTGAAGGGGTGCTAAGTTTTTCTACAGATTTTTCAACTAGACAACATGGAAAATAGATTTTGAAGGTGCGCTTCGGACTTGCATTGTCTGTAGTTTATCTGTAAGTTAATATTTCACTATAACTAGGATTCCCATAATATGAATTCTGTGACAAAACAAAAACGCGAAACTTACTCAGACTCACTTGAAGAGCTATCGACATTAATGTTTATGATGTTGGATTCAAAATCTCTCTCAATTATGTTGTCCAGCTCCCACATTGCTACCTCCACTTTCTCCTGAACATGCTGCACACATTTTTGCCATCTTTCTGGTGTGACCCTCTGTATAGCAATTCTGAACAGCTCTTGCATGTCAGAAAATTTAAATGTTGTATTGTGTGCAGCAACAAAATTCTTAACATCTGCCCATATGAGCTCAATGGGGTTGAGCTCACAGTGGTAAGGCGGCAACGGAGAACTGTTTTGTTTTGTGCTTTGGCCATTTCATATATGACATATTTATCATGTCTTGGTCTGTCTTGTTTCACAATATCTAATAGTTGTAATTTCAGTAAGGAAGGGTCGAATGTTATATTTTTGGAACGGAGCCAGCTCTGAATGTCTAATTTCCTAGAAGCTAAAGTTGGGATTTTTTCTATTTTGCGAGAGTGATAGGGAGCATTATTCAAAACAACCACAGAATTGTATTCGAGACGTGGTAAAATGCTTCCCCATTCATCTCTCCATGGTAGTCAGTGATTTTTTTTGACTCAAAAGACCATAAGCCGTCATCCACGAATCTATCTACACCCCCAATGTGGCAAATAATGAGCCTTTTTCCTACACATGCACGTCTTGTAGGTACGAAGATAGAGAGATATTGAGCGCAAAAATTGATACCGTGAACTACTTCGATCTATTTACCTGCTGGATTTTTCAATCCGGTCGACAGTCCATCTAGAAATGCCCTTCTGGATGAAGTCACAGTTTTGTCAACCCATACCTTCGGAGTAGTGTGCCCAGCGTTAATCCAGGTTTCGTCCAGGTAATAGAGCTTCCTGTGCTGATCCCTGAATGATTTGATTATGGTCCGGTACTCTATCCTCCACAGAACAATTTCTTCTCTATCTATAAGTAAGCTGTTACGACCTCGTTTCTTCCATTCGAAATTAAGATGCTTCAAAAGTTTATGAATAGTCGAACGTTTAAAATTTGGTAGCATAGCATCCTCGTTAACCTCCCGTAGTACTTTATCAACTGTCGGTATTTCGTTTCTGAAGAAGAATTCGTGCACTTTCCTCCGAATCGCATGCTTGTCAGCGTCATCCGACGATCTTATGATACTTTTGCGATTTTTACCCGTCATTGGCTTGGAAAAGGCATGCTTTTTCTTATGTTCGTTCAAAACATTGTACACTGTCGCTTGGCATACCCCAATTTTATCTGCCACTTTCAGAGCTATTTTCGGGTTAGTTGATGTTTCGTCTTCCTTCCGCTCTATCTTGAATGTATCCAATATGACGTCTTTCATGTCTACGCTAAGATGTCTTTTTTTTATCGCTTTCTAGGAGGGCTAAGGGAGTAGCCTACAGCCTCGCCAGCAGTATCTGTACTGGACATGTTCAGGATTGGTTCAAAGCAAATAATAACGAGGAATAACAATAACAAACAGAAACTTAACAAATTACTCAAATACACTTAACAACAACAACAGCAACAACCAAGCAAGGTGAATACGAAAACACGAGCACGCAGTGATACACGCGACGGTCGGTGGCCTGAATGCAACTCTGCCTGCCCTGCGCCTGCCCCGCGCATTATTCCGCCAGGCGACCGCTTGAAATTTAATGGCGATTTGACCAATAAGAGGCGTTGTCCCCACCTGTTACCGAGAGATCACGCACTAACTGTTATTATTTACATCTCATCTTGAATTTGGATTCAGTTAGAGCTTTTGTATCGAGCAGTTCTCGATGTATAGACAGCGTATTAAGGACGTATCATCGATCAACCAGATTGACATCCTGTGTAAAGCAGGGTGTCCTAAAAGTTGGGACTTTCCCTTTCAAAAATAACTACGTCTGATATAACAAAGCTAATGCGCGGTAAACCGTCAGCGAAAACGTGGACAAGTGGACAAATAAAACTTTCGTTTCTCCGACCACACTGGTCAATTTTGGTAATAGATGGCACTTTGTGCTGTTTTGATTCAAGTACCTACATTTCTTTTAAATATAAAAAATTCTCGCAACAAGTTATAGAACTATTGCCAAGTGAGAAAACTGGAATGTATTCTCTTAAAGAATCACTGGTCATTCATAAAAAAAGTTCATCATTCCCATGAGATGAAAAAAAAACTGGAAAAATAGGTAATGTGTGGTGTTTTTGTAAACCAAGGGCAAATTTGTAAATATTTACAAAATTTCTAGTGTTGAGCGGGAATTTTACAGCTTCATATTCCCATAATAAGTTTGTAAAGTTTCACTTCGGTCTACCTAGAAATTTTTTCCTTCTTCTTGGTGTGAAAAAATAAATGATCTAGAAGCTATCAAATGGACAACAGGTTTTTTGAGGTTTATCCTCATTTTTCTTACAAAAAGCTTCTAATTTATTAGAAAAATCTTTCTCAAAAATGTTGATATCTCGTGATAAAACTGTGTAAAAAGCTCAAGAAGAAGATTTTTTTATTTTAAAGTTTTTAGCAGCAATAAGCGTGATCAGTATTTACAATTTATAAATTTATAAATGTTTTCCATAAATAATCATTGATCCTTTTAGATAATCAATTTCATCTTTTGAAGCCATACTTAGATTTTCTGTAGATTGATTGGTTCCAGAGCTATCGACGATACAAGCCAAAATTGTTCTGTCTCATTAAAAATTCAGTATCTCAGCAAAACATGGTCGTATCGAGGTTTTGAAAAAATCAAATTGAAGCTAAATAAATGAGCTATTGATTACACGCAATGGTTTAGCGAAAAAATAGTTTTACAAGTCCGTGGATTGAAAAATAGATATAGAAAAATTCGCAATTGTTTTTCTTCACACTTTTTCCTGTAATTGCCTAAAACCTACAGCTTCAAAAACGTTTGTCATTGAATACTCAAAAGCTAGACTATTTAAGCTTCAAAATGCTCCTTTTAGAACCTCAATAGAACTATTTTTACTGAGATACAGAATGATTAAAAATTTGCAATTTTTATTTGATCCCTTAATTTTTTGCATTAGTGTATATTGTGATATACAGCAGCTCCCTGGCGTAGTAACTAGTATGAAGTTTAGGCAACACGTACAACTACAAAACGAGCTCACAACAAGTGGCCATCAGCTAGTGCTAAGTTAACATCTTGTAAAAAGACCTGCATAATGTCATAACAAACCAATATAATGTCAACAAAAAATCGACATAATATCACTTTTCAAGATGCGTAATACACGTGCCGCTGAGGAAGTGATTTAGGACAGACGTTCGAAGATTTCAAGTGTTTTGTTTATGTTGAAAACAATTTCCGTTGCTGATATTCAACAAATAAGATAGCACTCTAAGTAAAGCATGGGCGCCCGTATGGAGATGCCGTGGGGTAGAAACACTACAAAAAGTTTTAGGGACACTTTCACAAAAATTTAAGAGTTGATGATCGGTACCCCTTTCCCCCGTGCAGGCGCCCATGAGTGAAAAACACCTATTATCAAAATGCATGGGATTTCAACATATCTAAAAATCACCTCTGACCTAAGGGTTCTGAGATAGACGAGTCCCATGAAAAAAGCCTTGAAACGTGACTCAGTTTAGGGTAATACAGCCATCGTATGCGTTTTCGTAGAATCACGGTTCTCCCAAAAAAAAGATTGCATATTAACGCTTATAAGTAATCTCGTTAAAGCTTACAAGGTAAACGTAGTTACGTGCAATTACAGTGTTTGCAATTAAACTGCTGAAAAAGCATAAAATCATCGATATTTTCAGGTATGTGCTGACTAGATTTAATATCAGAATTCATGTTTACTGGGTGTCTTAGGTTTTGGTTATTATCTACATCTTCTAGAAAATAGAGATAAAATGAAGAATCACGAAAAAATGTATATACGAGTACACGGTACATTCATGGTCGCGCGTTCCAATGATATACTTTCCAAGATTCATAGAATTTGAAATTGTCAACCTTGTCCAACTTTTAATCTAAACAGTGTAACGCAACCACCATTCTTAACTTGGACAAAAAAAGTATGAAAGACAAGATTGTTTATCAAAATAAGACAAAACAAAGTGCCATATTACCAGAATCGAGCACTGCAAAAACGGAAACAGCAACTGTATCCCAGTTCACACCGTCAGCAATTTTACCACTGTGACCGCTAGATGTCGTAGCTATAGTAGATACGGTCTACTCGCCATTGAACAAATTTATAATATAGCTTTCGTTCGTCTGACCACAGATGGTCAACCATGGACTGATGTTTCATGCTATTTGGCAACTCCTCAGTATGGTCTAGGCTCGGTCTCAGTGTGGTCGATTCTGTAACAGTTAGCAGTTTATGCTTATTTCGATATACCTTAAACTTTGGATAGAGGACAATTTCCCAGATTTCGTTCGTTATCCTATCAGAAACCAAGCCTAGACTGGGCTGCTTAGTTGTCAAATAGCACGAAACAGATGTCCATGGTAGGCCGTCTGTGGTCGGTTACAAGATGGTTTGCTCTGACTTTAATTCTTAATCTATAATAATGTTTCAAATTGTCGAAAATCTGGACAACTAGCTTCTCTATTCCTCATTGTCCGTTGAGTAATTCGTATATCGTTGCTCTTGGTTAAAATTTTGTAAACTATTTTTTATTACTTACTTGGTTCAATAATCAGTTGAAAAAAATGTTTCAAAAATGTGTGCCAAGTAAATTTATATACCCACGTGGAATATTGAAAAATGGTAAAGTTCAGTTACACTTATGGAAAAAATGGTATGTTTAAGAATTACTGCTAATTGTTATAACTACATCAAATTTCAAAAATACTAGAATCAGTAATTTTTATTATTGTGGTTACTTACCTATCATATTATGTTTAAATTTATTGCTGAGATAAATAGTATAATAATAATAAATTTTCCATAAAGTACAGTTCCAAATATTATTGCATGAACCAGCGTAACAATGACGAATAACAGCAATGCCACGGAAGAAAAAACTCGTGCGTGGCTATCCTATTTTTGTCATTTAAATACACGCAGTTATGTAGTTTATCAGTAGATTTGATAACACACTACGTAGTTACGCACTGATAAACTTTGGTGATTATATAGTCACTGGCGGAAAACGACAAAAAAAACTTGTGAATATACGATGTCACTGGCAGTTTAATTAACTATAATCAATTATTCAGACATAACTAACACATTAAAAAGAAGTATTGAGCTTAGCTACACTAAAAATATACATGCACGTGTGTCAGGCATAAGTAGGTTAAAAGCAAATATCAAAATTAGTAAGAACAAAATAAAATCTGAATAATATAACATCGATGTTGGTTTCAAGTTGGGGTTGTGAATAGTGACAAAATTGGCAAGATTAAAGCAAAATAGAGTAAAACTAAAACCAAAAACGCTTGTAAAAATCAGTGTTCATAATACAGGTCATGAAGTATAGGGTAATATATATATATATATATATATTGAGACGTGGTCATTGCCGTTTAGACCAGTTAGAAAAATAAAGCTGCCGCCTTTTGTTGGGTACTTTGACAAAAATTAAGCAAAGAGGACTCTTTATACTTTATTAATCTCTAGCTTTCAATGGACTTTGCCATCTTCATCGAGAGCTGCAATAACATTGAGAAAAAATAGCAACTATTGTGCAAAATGATTATAAATTAACTTACAGTTATATATCAGATTGTTGCTAAATGTTATTAACGTTTTGATTGAGGGAAACACAAAGTAACTGTGAATGCTGGATACATGGTACATTCGTCAAAATTAATATAAACTACACACAGCTGTATGTCAGGAACAAATTAAAATGGATTAAAATATTTAAAACAAAAGTTAAAATTACATCTTAAACCACCAGATGCTGCACAAAATGGTGGGCACAGGATCACAAATAAGATATATACATATATATATATATATATATATATATATATATATATATATATATATTATATTATATTATAATTGCGATTTATTTTACATACGTACAATTACAATAGGGTCGTATCGTCAGTCGTTCTTATAGTTTATTCACTGAAACAAAGCAGTTGCGTCATGTTTAGTAAATTTGAATTCCAACCATAATGCAAAATAGATCCTAAATTGGTACGTATAGTTTGAATTTCCCGGGTACATTTATGTTGGTAACAGTTTTCTGTGTTGTGACATTGTCGCAAAGCTTGTCAGTTAATTCCGCTAACGGCTGTTTATTTGTGGTTCATTTTCGTTCGTTTTGCCTCCATATTTGTGTTATTTTATAAAAACAATTATTTTCAAAATTTTGAGGTGTCCTTTTAAGCATTTTTCTAAATTGCCGAAACGTCTGGGTCGACAAGCGTAAGAATTCGTCATTTCTTTAAGAAAATATTTTGAGACCGGACGAGATCATGCCTTTACAGTCCGTAAGCGAGACATTAGGTAGTAAATAGAATGTATAATAGCTCTACCGTTTTCAAAACACACGCTTCGTAATGCTAGTTGCGGTAATTCATCGAAGACATAGAGCAGAACGTTTAATTAATGTGGCAACCATGTGCGTTACTGTCATTATTTGACTTTGTGACGCAACTGGTTTGATTCAGCAGATAAACTGTATAATTTTAGGAAGTCTTTATGGCCGCCTTGATTTTCATGATCTTTTCTCTCCTGCAAAAGAGCTGGTGTATTTGCAGATGTCTACTGTTCCGTGTCAGTGTCATGTTTTCTTTTTGAATTGTAGGAAATCTCAGGCTGATGATATAAATCAAAAGCATAAACAATTTGATGCAAAAGGTTTTTGTGACATAACCTCACAATAGAGCGCTAATACAGAACAGTAGGAAGCTATAAAAATCAAGGAGGCCATAAAAGTATCCTACAATTGTAGGAACAACTAACGATACGGCCTTTAGGCAATATACACAAACAATATTTCAGCTAGCACACGATTTTGGCTTAACGTAATTTAAGAATGCATTACTACCCTGTGAAAGACGTTCTCATCTTCAATGCGAACATTTCATGAAATGGTCATTTACGATACGCCCACCACATATAAAACGCGCTGAGGCGGAATCGACTAGGCTAAATAGAACAATAGAAATGTAAATAAAAATGCACGATTAGTTCCAATTATAAAATGCCTATTCACGAAGCAGAAAAACCCAGCATCAGATGCCGGCTTAATAAACCGAAGAGATGAATTGATTATTGTGTGATTTTCCAGGGCGAGGGCACTCGAAATTGGCGGGAATGAGATTGATAATCGCAGCAGCTTGATCAACAATCATGACGATCACATCGTTGAACATTGCTGATGGATCAGTTACCAAACAAAAATGGTGAGTGCTATTTTTATCGAATTTTCAAAATTTACAGTTGAAGACAAGTGGATAAAGATGTCATGTAACATTTTTTTTAAATGCTTTTTTGCATTAAATTAACCTTAAGGAGTTCTATGATTACTTTGTTGCAAAACAAGATAATAACAAACTAATTAAACTAAATATTTAAACAGTCAGTAAAGTAAGAGGTCCAGTAACAAATGTTTAAAGTAAATTTTCGCCATTAAATAATTTTGTTACATCACACCTTTATCCACTTGCCTTGAGTTGTTTCTGAGTAACTGCAAAGAATAGAAGTTTATACAATCTAACACCATTGAAGATAAAATTAACTTTTTAACAGATAGTATTTTATGTTTATTTAATGTTCACTGTCCAAAAAAGGTAGTGCGTGTAAACAAAGCTCCAGCTCCTTGGTTGGATAATAATATTAAACTTCAACTACAAACGTGATCGTACAGCCGCCTCTTGGCAACAGTATACATATTTCAGAAATCGTGCATTAACGCTCGTGCGAGGAGGGAAAAAAGATATTATTTACAAGCTGTTCAAAATCAGGATATAAAGAAGTTTTATAAGACCCTAAAGACTTTCAAAGTACAATCTCAGAAAGATTCTACAATTCCCGTGAGCTTGTCAGAGCCGTATAAAATAAATGAGGCATTCATTTCAATTTTCGAGAATAGTGATTTGGCTTGTGCTGATAAAATTGCATATTACCGAGCTAATAAAAATAACTCAAAATTCAAATTTCAATTTAATAAAGTGACTATTGACACCGTTGTTAAAATTATACATAAAATAAAATCAAATTCTAGTGGTACAGATGAAATAACTTTGCATATGATACTACTATGTATACCTGAAATTGATGTGTACTTAACGCATATTATAAACTGCTGTTTAGAGAGGGGATATTTTCCCAATCAGTGGAAACGCGCTATAGTTATTCCGCTACCTAAGTGTTCTGATCCTACTAACTATGGTCAACTGAGACCGATCAGTCTACTGCCAATTTTTTCTGAAGTATTGGAACGCGTTGTTTACGAGCAGCTCTGCGCCTACTTATATTGTAACAAAATTATTCCACCTAAACAATCTGGATTTCGACAAGGTCATAATACAGCTTCGGCACTCAGTGATTTAACAGACAATATAACAATGACACTTGATAACCAAAAAGCAGTAGCTCTCATACTTCTTGACTTTACTAAAGCATTTGACACCATTAATCACTCACTTCTTGTATCTAAATGCAATTACTATGGATTTTCTGAAAAACCTCTTTCGTTTATTCAAACCTACCTTGAAAATCGGTATCAAAAAGTTCGTCTAAATCAACAGTACTCTACGGAACAAAAAATTTGTTCTGGTGTACCACAGGGATCAGTCTTGGGACCGCTATTATTTTCATTATATATCTCAGATATAGAAACAGAGGTAAAATCATGCAGGATACAATTTTTTGCAGATGATACTCAAATTTTCCATTCATTTAGGAGCAATTACTTGGAAACGGCAAATAATAAAATTAATCAAGATCTTGCCCAGATTGAAAAGTTCAGTAGTAGTCATAATCTTCGTTCGAACCCTTTGAAGACAAATATGTTAGTATACGCAAATAGAACAAAAAAGAATACATTAAAAAAGGACATAGACCTACATTTAAAAGGTAATAAATTAATTCCAGTGGATCATTCGAAAAACCTAGGCATTATAACCATTATAAATGATGACTTGAAATTTGTTGCACACGTGAACTATCTATTTACTCAGTGCTACGCTATTCTCAGAGTTTTATTTTCAAATAAGGCTATATTACATAAATCTGCGAGAAAGCAATTGTGTGAATATTTCGTATTATCAAAGATATCGTATTGCTTAGTAGTTTACTATCCCTATTTAGATATTATAACAAGACATCGTATTCAAACTATTATGAATACATGTTGCAGGCTTCTAAATGATCTCAGAAAATATGATCATATATCGAATGCCATTAATGAACTCAAGTGGATGAAAATTGATAAAATGTATAAGTACCAGCTCCTAAATCTGACTCATAAGGTTCTTTATTCAAAAACACCGTCATATTTAGTAAACAAATTCATACGTAGAGGGCATATGCATCGTATTAATATTAGATATAGAGAGACTTTTTCAATTCCACGCCACAGCACGTCTCTATTTCAGAATTCATACATTTACAATGCGATCAAATCATATAATTCTTTAGACCGCAGTTTAAAAGAAACCAATCCATTATCCAAATTCAAGAAAAAAGTGAAAGAAGTTCTTCTTGATCAGCAGCGAAATCGGTTGTAACCCATAAGTGTCCTCATATTTTCCTTATATATTTACTTGGATTATTCGTTATTGTATACAGGTGCCTATCAATTTTCAACAAATTCTTTTTTTTTTACATCTCGTATTGTTAAGGGGGTTAGATGGTAGAATAGATATATAATCTAAATCTCGCCTCCTGTAAGAATATTACAAATAAAAGACGTTAATTATTATTATTATTGTATTACATTCTGTCATGGCTGTATCTATTGATATTTTTATCACCTGCTGATATAATAGACGTGCTTGATTGTGTCAGTATTTGCAGTTCAGAGTCTTAATCGCAGTATGCGCAGTGGCCCCATCTCGTTGGAACCTCATCGCTTGATTATCAGCAAGAGCTGGTCTTAAGAAATTTTGAATCATATCCCGATATCGCTCGCCATCTACAGATACAGTATTCCCATCGTGGTCTTCGAAGAAGAATGGTCCAATAATTCGTTGAGACGTAACTGCGCACCATACTGTACATTTAAGCGGATGTAATTGTCTTTGATGAACCACCCTTGGGTTCTCGATATCCCATATTCTGCAGTTCTGCTTATTTACAAAGCCATTCAAATGAAAATGGGCTTCATTGCTCATGATCAGAGAATAAATAAATTCATTATCTTCTCGAGCCATTCTTTGCAAGCGAACTGCATAAGCTAGTCGTTCTTCGAAATCTGCTGGTTTTAGTTCTTGCACTAGCTGCACTTTATATGGAAACAGACGTAAATTTCCTTTTAATATTCTGCGTAAAGACCTTCGAGACATCTGCAGCTCAGCAGAACGTCTTCGGGTTGAGGTTTACGGATTCTCCTGAACGCTCTCCTGAACGCGTTGAATGTTCTCTTCATTTATTGCGGAACGTGGCCTTCCGCTTCGTGGGAGATCCATAACTGTACCTTGTTGCTGAAATCGTGTCACTAAGCGTCGAATCATAGATTCAGAGGGCGAATTCCGCAAATTGAAATGACGACGATATGCTCGTTGAGTTTGAATTATTGAGTGATGATATTCAAAATAAAATTCTATAAGTTTGGTTCGTCGATTAAGGTTGTAACGATCCATAATCAATCTCGCGGATTTATTTTTCACAGTCCTGGAAAAAAAAGAAAACAAAATAAATTTAAAAAAGTTATCAACTTTTCAAGTTGCTTCGCGACTTTTGCCCCACCCTAGTAGAACAGATTACAGCAGGGTTGTCTCGGAAAGTGTTAAAAATGTATATGGTTTACCAGCGAAGTGGACTTTTGTAGCAAGAATATGTCGTTTTCAGTTATTTACACCAATAAACAATGCGATATTTTGACAAATTCCAAATATATTCAATTAGCTAAATTATAATATAAATCATTTGTTCGAGGTCATGATAACCAGATTATCCAAAACACATTTTAAGTAAACAGAAAAATTTCCTAACTTCTCATATTTGTGACATTCAGTTAAGCTCATATCCGACAGAATCCTTGACATCAAGTTTCTTAACCACGTGTTTTTGTTGTTGTTAATAGAAACTAACGTACGGTATTAATTAGTGGTTTTCTATAGTGTATTATTAAAGAAAATGGGGTTCCTTGTAAGCGATTTTCTGTGATTGTGTAACAAACACGTTCAAGGGGGAATTAATATCAGTCTAGGTAGTCGCGATAAAAAATTTATTAGTGTACACAGATGAGTTAGAACGAGGTTGAGAAAAAATGGGTCGAGATTTTAAAAATGTCGAACAAAATCCGTTCATAAGTGGGGATTCTCACCGTGTAGAAATCGGCAAGAAAAGCCCACAGACGAGGTATGTAACATTATTTACTAATTGCCTCAGGAAGATTCGTTTGAGAGAAGTTATGCTTGACATCTTGTTAAAAATGATCGGATTGCCTTCCGTTATGAACAAATCCAGACGCTTCCGTTATTCTACTACCGCTACTATCTGTCTTGCTGTCACTACGTAGAATGACACTCTGCAATCATCAAGTGGCTTCACGATGTAATGCTTTAATGTTTTTAAATAATTTTTAATCTGTTTTTAACTTGTTCTTGTCATATTTTATATAATTTTGACCATTGTACCATCTATCCAGCTCTCACCATGTTACTGGACGTTTCCCTCATCCTATACGTAAACAACAATTAGCAACATCCTCACATACTACTCTCCTGATGATGATGGCAAAGTCCATTGAAAGCTAGAGAGAATTAAAAAAGTATAAAGAGTCCTCTTTGCTTAAATTTTGTCGAAGTACCCAACAAAAGGCGGAAGCTTTAATTTTTCACCTAACTGGTCTAAACGACGATGACCACGTCTCAAGATATATATATATATATATATATATATATATCTATATATATGCAAGACATATATTTCTGACCTGAATATAGCACAAAAAACTGTTTTGAAAGCCATTTTCCATAAGCCAAGATTATATCCAACGAACAACTTATATCAAGAAACAGGGATACTTGATACAAGACAACTTTATTTCTTACATGCCACCACCTTATACCATAAGTATTGTAATAAAAAGAAAAAATCCTATAAACACGAGCATAACACACGATTTCGAATAGGCTCATCTAATATCCAAAGACCACACAAAACATTATTCAAAAAACCATTTAAATTCTTAGCAGCTAAATTATATAATGTAGTACCAAACGAAATAAAAATA